AAAAGTGATATTGTCCCCTTCAAAGTACTCCCCATCGACTGCAACGCACTTATGCCAGCACTTGATCCAGCTCTCGAAACATTTCTGGAACTCTATTGTCGGTATAGCCATCAGAGCTGTCTTTGATTTTTCCATTATCTCCTTTCGGCTGTTAAAACGCGTTCCCCGTAATGATTTTTTGATTCGATCGAACAGAAAAAAATCACAGGGAGCCATATCAGATGAATTCGATGGCTGTTGGATGGTATTCGTTTCGTTCTTGGTCAAAAAAATTCACGGATAATGATGGCACTGTGCGACGGTGCGTTATCATGGTACAAAATCCACAAGTTGTAAAAAATCGAAAATACGTGCAGAGGTAGATGTACTCAAGACGGCGTAACTTTTACAAATGTCAAGCTATGGTCATAAAATTTGATGGGAATGTCAATGATAGATATGGCAACCTAACCAAAAAAACAGAACTCAAATCAGCTGACTCAGAACATTACCTAGTGATAATCCGGGAACTTTTTGATCAAGGTGGTATATTTATACTTTCGTATAAATTTTAAGTATCTACGTTTTATTATATCATACATATTATATTATAATATACATCAAACAATAATTACTATTTGACATTTAATACGTTGATATTTATGCATTTATTACTTCTCTACTTTTATCTTCGTTTATAATAAATTTTGTATAATGATTTTCGTTATTTTAATTACCTTTTGACTTTATTTACATAGTTTCCAATATATACATATATGCATATTATTATTTTTAATAATCTACTACTCTTTCTTTTATCCGATATTTGAATATAAAACGACAATACATTTCAGTTTTAAAACATTCAGATATTTCAGAATTTTTTTTTATTTAATTAAATTATATTACTACGTCTTACATTACTGTGTCATATTTACTATTCCAACTATATCAGATTGGAGATGAATTTTATTATATTCATTTAATGTATCAGCCGAATCTTTCTATATCACAGTCCCTGTTAACTATCCTGTTAATTCCACAGTTCCTGTTAATTATTAAATAAATAGCATATATTTATAAATTGCATAAATTTATACATATTTTTATACATACTGTCATTTTATGTTCCATCATTATTATTAGGCTTTAATATAATAATTTAATATAATAATTATTTCACCTTATAGCTATTTTAATTTATTTTAATAAATTGTATCTAGAGCGATACCCTCCTTTCTCCTTAATTATTTTCTTCTCAGTTTCATCTGAGAAGTTCTATCATTTTGACAAATTAAAAGTATGTTGCCAATTCGTTACCAATCTAATGTTGCTTTAACTTTCATGTTTTTTTATTATTACGTTAACATCGAGTCAACATTAAGTGAATTATCTAACCTTCAATTATTATCGAGAAGAGTCTCCGTAAGTTTCCGCTCGGCCTATGGATTCATTTCGTCATCTCTAATTAATTAAAGGTGCGTTCAAGGACGCTATTCGCATTATTTAGTGCTACAAACTGTTCGCAGAGCTGCAGATAGCGCTAACAAAAACGATCATCATAACAAACATGACATCACTAATGGAAACGTGTTACATCACAACTGCGCATTATCAACGCTCCTTCCGAGATAGTGTATTGGTTAGCTTTTACAGATCCATGTACCTTAGCATAGCGTTGGTAACGTTTAACATTCGTCAAAGTTAGATTAATGTTTGAGAGGATTCTATTCTCGAGTGACACCAAACTTTTCTCTCTTAAAATTTCGTAGATTAAACGTATGTACGTAATATGTGAATTTCAAATTTTATCATAATACAATCTCAATTTTAATCTCTGCTGATAGCTTGCCCCTAGGCTAGAGTGAACGTAATTTTTGCTTGTGTATCATCTTTAACTTTTCAAAATTTCTACGAAATTCAATTTGTATATTTGATTTCATTATGTGAAAGTCAGAGGTATCTCGTTACTGGCAATTTTTAATTCCCACATACCGAAAAAAAATTATTATTGCGGCAGGATATTCTGCTGCAGATGCTTAAGGTCCTTATTAGATGTAGATATGTTTTTTCTTTTGAAATCGACAACGGATGCTCAAAAATTCTTCTTTTTATCTGATTAATTTATTTAATGTAACTATTAATTTTTTGATCTAGTTTACATTGTTCACTTCGGCCTAGCGGCAAGCTATCATAGAGATTGCAATTGAAATTGCGTTCTATTATTCACTACGAGAAAATAAAAAATTTACGTTAGAAATATTTTACAAAATCTTAAAAATTTTAATTATAGGGAAAAATTTAGTTGGTGATTGAAAACAGAATCTCCTACATTAATTTAACCTCGACGAATATATCTTTCTGGTTAAACATTACTAACACTACACTAGGATCATTTATGGAGCTTGCTAACGCTATCGCGCTATTGATTCCAAAGACAGCGTTAGTAGCATTTGCATCTATAGCGTGAATAGTGTCTCCCCGAACATAATCTCCCTAAATATAACAATTGTAATCCTAATTCTAATTGTAATCCTAATTTGAATTTGTTGAGACATGTCACTTGTCCGTGCTATCTTATCCTAACTCAGCATCCTCACCCGGGAACAGATTCCAAGATCATACTATGTATACACGTGCGTGCGACGTACTTCATTCGACCTCTTTCTTTGTTTTTGTGTGGTGTGCACGACTTAAGTTTATGATATAACAATAGATTTGTTAAAAGTTTTTGCTTTATTTCTTAGATTTATTACGCACATACACGGCTCATGAATATCTTACGTATTTCAATTGTGTTACAATTGAATGTGATTAGTTTATTATTATAATTAAAATAATTTTATATTACACAAAATCCGCGCAGTGTACACAACATTTTTAACAAATGAAACATTGACATCTTGTGGTTTTTTGTTACTTTTGAATATCATTAATTTTTATTTAATTGTAAATCATCAGAGAATGAGCAATAAAAATTGAGATATAATGTTGGAATGTCAGAAACACTTCACGTGAGCAATTTTATAAAAAAAAGAATCATACTGTAAGTAAAAATCATTCTTTATCTCTTATCTTTTGTTAGTGTATTAATTGATACCAAATATTTGAAATTATAAAATAAATGTCAAATATACATTTTTCAATGTACCATGATATAATTACATTAAATGACACGCGCCACTAATCTAAACTGCAGTTAGTTTCGAGAAAATCGATATGAGGAATTATTTCATTAATTCGATGATGAAATATTAATTGGATTTTATTTTGTTTCATGTAATATAAAGTCTTACTTTATATCTTTTATTTTAAATAAGTTTTTTTTAGTCAGGGATTGATTATATTTAAAATAATTTTATTAAAAATATGTATTTTAAATAAAAGAATAAAGTATTTATTATTCTTAATCGTACTATCCTTATATGATAATTCAATAAATTTAAATTCATCGTACGCTTTCGATCCGAAAATTGAGAGTGATATATGTATATAAAGCCCTTGCTATCACTCATGACCATTGAAGTACCGATCTAAACGTGACAATTCTTAATTTGTAAATTGCCGTATATTTCGACGCTTTTTTAGAGCATGTATGATAGTATAACTATATACGAGTCTTGACTTGTTCACGGGTCACAAATGAACATTAATCAATTCATGTTCGTAGATATTTAATTTTCGTAAATTAATGCGACACATTAATTAATTAATGCGGAACATTTCGTATTATCTCGCTCCGAGATCACCGAGTGAATGTGATGATGTATATAATCAATCATCGCGCCGCGCGGCATCTCTCCCCCATCTCTCGCTGTTCGCCTCGCACTGTTTAGATATCTTACTATTGCGAATGAAAAATATTCACGGTTTATTTATTAATTCATGTTTTACATAATTTTGACAAACGGGTATCGTCGTACATTTCGCACTTTGCTTTATGGCATCTCTGGCACTAGTTTAATCCTATATTATTTGCGCGATATTTCTTTTTAATGTAGTTGATAATTCGCGTGTGTGAGGTATTTTTTTATATTCTAACGGTACATTATGTCTCAATTTTTATTATATTTTTAAAATATCTCGAGTAGAAATGTTTCTCATAAAAACTGATTATTAACCAGAATCTAGCCATTTTTTGCTAATTAGGCTATAGACATCAATTATTCAGTAACTAAGTAGAAAATTATGTTTAGAAAAATTTTGTCAATAAGTATAATAATTTAAAACTTACTGAATTAAATAGATTAGTAAATGCTATATAGTTTCTGGTCAGTCAAAATCCTTATTCTCTAACTCGACTTATCCTAGTTCTTATTTTATAGTCAAAAACTAGCAAAAAAAATGAACTAAAAAATCTTTGCTCATATGATTAATAAATGCTATATAGTTTTTTATCAGTCAAAACTTGACTTACCCTAATTCCTGTTTCATAGTAAAAAACTAGCTAAAAATAGCTTTAATGAAATGATTAGTATATAATATACTAATAGAGCATATTATTCTATTTAATTTCTGATCAACTAAAACTCAGCAAATTGTGAATGATAGTTGGTTTATATCTGTTTACAACTAACAAAACTCAAATAGCAGAATAATATCAGAAACATCTCTCTCTTTCTCATACTGACATAAAAATTTCTGATAATTTCTGATAATTTCATTTTGATAATTTTTTAGATATAATTTTATTAAATATTAACTATTAAATTTACTATATTATATGGAAACTCGCACACAATGTTTTTATTTAAGTATGCTTTATTATAATTTCAAATGTA